CACACTCATTGAATGCGACACAGCTGCGGGCAATTGCGGGACGTATATGAAAACCATGAAAAACGATCTGTGAAAAAGTCAGACGCAATTTCAGCGAATAACCACGTTCACGTTGACAGCCACGTTGTAATTATGTCATTACAATTTAAACAGTGCAATCAAATTAGACGTTGTCACAACGTAAAAGTATGATTTAATTAATTAAAACCGCAGAAAGATTGAAGGTTTATGTAGCCCTAGTGACACAGGAGTGGCAGAGCAAAAAAAATCCATTTAGCTCAAGCGCAAAAGTGAAGAAGGAAAGAGTGAGAAAATATATATATATATAAATGCCATCAAACGAATCACTGACATGTTAAAACCATTTCTTGTTTTCAATTTTTTTCCACCACACCACTCACTTTTTCTGTTATTATTGACACACGAAATTAAAAATATGAATGCAAAATGAAATGCTGTTCGTCTCAATCACAAAAAAAAAACAAATGAGAAATACATTTGCACTGCATTTGCTGTGTAACTGCTGTTACTTCTGCTGCTAATGTGCTAATGTTGTTGTTCAGTTTGTTTATGCTTATTGTTCTCTCGCTATAATTTTCGCGTTTATATTTTTCTTCTTTTCTTCTGATTTTTCCCTTTTCATGATTAAAAGCAACGTGACGCACACAATGCAATTTATGAAATTACTGCTTTGCAGCAATGCAGCTTTCCTACCTCTCGAAAAAAATAATAATACTCTCACATACGGCTCAGTTTTTTTGTGTACACTCTCATACACTTTGTTTGATTACTATTTGAAAGTGTGCAGCGTTAACGAGTTGAACGTTGGTAGAACAATGACGAACACAATAGTCACACTGGAATGAGAAAGTGAAATAGAGAAAGAAGTACGAGGGAAAAATATTGTTTTGTTTGTCGCCAACTTTTCAAAACATCACTCAGACCTCGAATAAAACATATACACATATATACATTTGGAATGCAGCATAAAGTTGTCGTTCTGGAACGTTGATTTTCCCAATACTATATTTCTCGGCATGTGTGTGTGTGTGTTTTCTCTTCCTAACCGACGATGGCACATCACGTAGATTTGTGCTTTCATTCCATGTAGGATTGAGCTAGTGTCGGTGACATAGTACGGAATGAGATTGTAAGTATTCTGTATGCATGTTTGCGAATATGTATCCGTATATATTTTAATTATAATTATAGCAAATTTTTTTTGCCATATATATTTTTTTTGTTTGCTCAGTGCTCATGGATTTGTTTGTATTTTGTGACCGGGATGTGTGCGCTCGTGTCATGGCTGTGTGCAAAACTTTTTTCTCTACTTTATCGCATTCGACCATGTGATAATTAATATTGTCACTTTAACCATATAAAAAATAACATAATGTGCGATGCACACCATATCATCGTGAAATCGTTGCGTTGAAAATTGGCATCGTAAATCCGAAGTAAGCAAAAGATATATATGGCTCGGTATAGCCGCTGCTGAGCTTAGTTGGCATTATAAATAGGTAATTTATGGATTAAATTAACATTAAGATGTGCATTCGCTCTGTCTCTCTTATTTTCAATCCTTCAAGCTACGTGCAAATTTAATGCAAACACCAAACAATTCGCTTTCTCTCATATTCACTAGACAAAACACATTGTTTTATTTCCGTCTTTTTTACATTTTAACGACTTTGAAAGCTATGCGTGTATGTTTGTGGAAAATCTGTGCACACTATTCATTCAACATATCCGGGAACCAAATCAGAAATTCATTTCAAAAGGAACGTTTCTAATGGAAAAATTACCATTTTGCATATTTTTTTTCTCATTACCACATAGACTTTAATCCGATCGACTGACCCTTTTCTATCTCTCTTTTTCTCTTTCTCTTTTCCATTGCATCTCTCTTTATCTATTTTTATCTCCATCTCTATCTCTACCTCAGTGACTAGCTCGATCTCTTCGTTGCATTGCACTGAGATTAGGTAAAGTAGAGTCGCAATTAGATTAATATAGTAACTAAGTGGAGAAAATTTAAGCTCGACCAAGCTCAGCATGAACCCATCATGGGAGATATATAAAGTCTTTTCAATGTGTGCAAAACGTTCACATAATACATTCGATTTACAAAAGGAATAGACGATAGTGGGAGAGAGAGAGAGAGAGAGAGAGAGAGAGAACACTGTGTCCATCAACCACAAACTGAATTCAACTTAATAACAATATTGTTTGAGATAACAAGTCATTGAAATTCATACACATACAGATATATACAAGTTTTATTTAGCAATTACAATGTTTCATCATCATTACATGTTTCATTAGGTTTTAATGACCATATGTTTAATGCAATTCATGCTGACGTAATTTGTTGTTATTGAATTTAGAATGCATATTTGATTCGTTTTGTGAATATGTGTGTCATGTGTTGTGTATTGTGTATGGATGTGAAAGAGTAAAGCTAAATCGTCAAGCACAAAATCCAAATGTGCACTGACACCGAGAGGCGAAAGTATCTCTTTAATCTAAAATCAGGCAACATTTTTCGCAAATTCATTTTATGAGCATATGCTATCCCATGCACCGCTACATCTTACAAAATTTCAGTCGAATGAACTCGAGACGTCGTTTATATCCTTATTTTCACATTAGAGTGCGCATCACAATCATGATTAAATGTGATTTATCACGATTATATCACCTTAATGAATTTTTATGTTTTGCAATATAAGCAACAAACGAACATAAACGTGTACAATGTTTGCGCGAATATGGTTCGATGAGCAGCCAAAACAAATCTTATTTGGTGCTTGTATTGCCATTTTAGTTTTTGATTCATCATCTTTTGCTCGTTTCTTCTCCTTTCTCGTCCATCTCTTCAATTCATGTATTACACATTCGTATAATAATAATAGTGTGGTCACGCTGATAAGTGGTGCACAACACAATAAAATTGCAACACAGAAAATACAAAATATTACCGTGCTGATGCTGAAAAGAATGGAAACAATGTCATAGAAACAAACAAAGCACATTAAATTGTACTGAATGAAATAGAACAAATGATGGGCTTCCTATTTACGTATTCGCCATTTGGTCTACTTCGCCTCGTTGCCTTTGGCTCGGAATTTGGTTCGGACTCGGATTTTATTGATTGTTGTTGCCACTGGTGCTACCATTTCACCAAACTATTCTATTACTATTCACTGCATGTTTTGCTAGTAGATTTGACATACACATAAAACTGGCTACACATACGTTTTTACCATGTTTGTACAAAGCACAGTGTTTACGCATCAATGTATGTATACCGCCCAATACAACCACTTCAAAATGTCGGCCTATAATTTTGCCACAGCCCGTATTAGTATATATTTTGAATGTGAATATGTTTTGCAAATGATAATAGCATTTGGGTGTATTCTGTTAGTGAATCGAACGTTTTACACAAATTGCTGTTTGAATCACATGATTTGTGCTAATGATCTGCGAAAACTTTCTAAATACATGATATTTTATTCGGGTCCATTCAAATTCAAACAGCCCAAACAGTTCGAAACCATTTTGATTTGAATAATCGACTAAAGTGTGAGTGTTTGTGTGGTCTTCGGAATGATTTTGTATTGTCGCTGTTGATTTTCTGAATAAATTTTAATAACGTTCGCGATGCGATTTGTTATTGTGTACGTGTATGCGGTCCATACGATATAATAATAATGCTTGAAGAAAACCAAATTCTTTGAATAATTCTTTGTATATTGAATGAATTCCAAAGCCCTCTTGAAAATTCAATTCAAACAATGTCGCACAATTTCTTATGTATCACTTGACAAAACGTTAACAAACGACAACAGTTCCATCATTATTATCATACGGATATTGTCGAAACGATGGTGAATGATTTACCATACAAAAAAAAAATCCGTTTTGTTGCACGAAAACCGTAAAATGAATTGGAAATTGGATTCGGGCGGGCGGGGAAATTAGTGTGTGGTTATAACAAAATTCCAATTTCTCTCATGCACAAACATACGTGTAGTATGGCCCAATATCAGACTTAAACAACATTTTCCGTCAAATTCGAGGCCCCGGAATTCATCGTGTTGTTAAATTTCGGATAACAAAGTTTTCGTCTTGTTGTTTCGTAGCGCACAGTCGAAAACCTAATTATGCATCAGTCTCTGCCATCCATAATGATTACAACGACAACGAAAAAGCACATATGGTTGATGATCTGTTTGAAGAAGAATATAATTTTTATTTCTACTTGGAGTTCTCTCTTTCCACAACCGCTCCCTTCGTACATATGGAATGTTATATTCAATATAATGGCATATCGTACCGGTACAGCCTTCTTGAAACAACAACATGTTCGTGGGTGTATAGGATCGAAACGCAAAAAATTGATTTAAATTATAAATGATTTAAATTATGTTTGAATTAGCTATTCGATGCTTACTTTCCATAAGCACAAAACTTCCGTGCATTGATGTCTTTTTTTTACTCTACTCCCAGCCACGATACGAACAGAAAAAAATCCATTTATCTATGCATGTTAGATTTGGTTTCAAGTTTTGAATTTTCCTTCGTAATCCGTGTGTGTGTGTGTGTGAGAGAGAGAGAAACGCTTTGGGCCTTACCGTTTTGTGTTCAGTGCGCTCAACACAAATTCTGAATCTATTTATTCAAATGACGTACTAGACATTTACTATTCACACTTGAAATTAACTCATACATCGAAATTCAAATTTGGATTATGTCCGTAAATATGATTATGCATAGAAACGAACATCGGCTTTGAAGCCGCCTGTAAAATGTTATAACACTGTCAATACAAAGGTTTAATCGTTTTCTTTTAATCCTTGGACACACAAAACCTATCCCCGATTACATTCGAGTATGATAGCATAATAAAGTGAAAATAATAGCCATTTATGGATATGGATGCTTATTTTTTTACATTTGAAATGATATAACAAACTTAAAAAAAATCAACTCACCAATATTGAGGCCGGGTAATCCGATAACTAGCAAAATAAATATCCTATAGGGGTTAATTGATGAACATTTTCCTGTGGTTATTGATAGTTTTGATTTGTATCGATTAGAATTCTCGTTAGGTTTTTGCTTTGATGATCCACAGCTATTCAGTTTCATAGCGCGTCGTTGGTTTGTATACTTTGAAAAGTATAAATTACATCGTTGACTCGTTGCTGGCGACATGATTTTTTTTATATCTATATTTTGTGGTTTTGTCAATTTTATGTTGTCTCTTTACGTTGCTCTCTATCTGTATCACGTTTCTGTTTAATGTATTTGTTGCAATCTTACAATTAGGCCATCATCACAAAGTCAAAGTTCAAAATAATTGGATGATTTTCTATCCGTATTTTCTCTGTGTGTTTGTTTCACACTCACACTCTTTATCACTTGCTTTATCCTTAACGCTTTCTTGGTGCACAATTCACCAGTTTTGCTTTTGTTGGTGCTTGTCTCTGCAATTCATTCACACATACAAACTAGCATCGGGCTAAAGATAGAATGCAAGTAGTTTACATTGAGGCAATCCACTGTATTGTGTACACACTTCAAAACAATTTTAATGAGATCGACTGTTCATGCCGCATTCATGGAATGTCGATTATGTGCTCAAAAGGCCAAAAATCACGTTCTCTTCACTTCAATATATTGCACCACACACCATTCACAAAGTCTTGGCTTTTGAATATTTGACGCTTTCAGTGAACTTGTTTCGCTCTTTCTCTCTATATCTATATCTGTATCTTTATCTATGTCTTTTACTTTTGAACACAAAACATTCATACACAATTGTATTGTTGAATCGTATGGAGTATATGTATTATCACAATTATGATGCTTTAAAGTTGATTCTTTCAAACCAGAGCATTTTGCTTGTTTGTTACAATAACAACAAAGAGTAAATTCAAGTGGATAAAAAACTGAAATCGGCACATATTCAGCTCACACAGATTCTGCTGGTTTTTTTTTTCTTTTCTGTTTTGTTCTGTGTCTTTTTATTTGTTCTCCTTGTTAAGAATTGTATGTATCACCTCGGGCATCCTTATAACCACACACACATATATATATGTATATGAAAACACAAACACATTCATACATATAAAGTACTTACAAACACTTTTGATTATTCTTGAGAGTTTTTCTTTTGCAATTTTTTTTTCAGTACACTAGCGTATATTTCTTTTTAGTGTAAAAGCCCACATGCATACACTTCGTATATCGTGTTTGAGATGGTTGCAGACTGTTTTTCTGCAAATGAAAAAATGTGAATGAGAGGGAAAAAATTGCTCTCTATTACGTAGACGCCCGTATGTAGCGCATAAATTATCGCCTTATTTCTGTGTTCGGCTCATTGTAATTAAATAGTTCAACAAACAGAAGTGCAAAATGTCATTTGTTCAGACTCCTTTCATCTCTCACACTCTCTTCGTTCGTCATTCACTTTGGCACCGTTTAGTTCAGATAAGTTTCAATGGATGGACCAGCATCGTAACAAACACACACACTCATAACGCGTTTATTATTAAATATTCGTGTGTTGTCGATGAGCAAAATTCACACCATTAAACGGTGCAGAACTTTTCACAGTACGGCTTTTATGCTCTTTCCTTTTTTTTTGTTTTTCGCTCTATTTATGTGTTTGTCTTTCACTTGCTGTCCACTGTTACTTTACATTTATACGATGACGACAATGCTGTATGCAGTCGCTTGCCAGCTACAATCGATGTCAACCAATATGCTACGGTGTTTAAGAAGCGCACATATAAATGTCCATTAACGAGCCGATTTATTTTTCGATTTTATTTGTGATGTCTTGTCTCTCCTTTACGTACAATGTGTGGTGTCGAGAATGTTCTGTCTGGAAGTGCTTTTGTTTTTCGGTGTTCGATGCTTTTACGTGTCGTAGATTCTGTTTGATATCGTTTCTTTTATAGTTCATTAACAACCATTAACGACGAAATGCCAAGACACGCACATTCACAAAACGGAAATCGATTTAACGTGGCAAATGCGAGAGAAAGAGAAACAATCGCACCGAAACTTCGAACGGAAAGACGAATAAGATGTAGACTGGCAACGGCAACAATTTTTCTTTGCTCTTTGAATGACCATATACTTTCTTTACGGTACACAATTATACATTATTTTATGGACGCACTAACACAACTTTTTTATTTACAATTAGACAAAATGCGTAAAACTCGTCGTTTCTTCATCGGCCTTGTCTATCTTTATTGTAATGCTTTTTGCTGTGCTATGGCTTTGGTGTCAGCCTCCTTATGTTCACTTTTATGCTTATTCTTGTGTTGTCTATTGTACGTTGATGTTGTCGTTTGCTCTTGTTATTCTCGTCGTCTTCGTTGTCGACGCACAACGTCTTCCCAACCACTGAATTCCCTCGGTGCAAATTAATACATTTAGCTTACGGCCACACTTATACTTATACTTATAGACATATAGAAGTAATGCACACATCCATTCAGCGACCAAAGTTTTCCTCTTGAGTTTTCATAAAGAATGAAGATGAACTGGAAATCCGAAGTTTTTGCGTATGGAACAACGACTAGTTTGGTTTTATGGCACACAAATGCGCGCTCATCGCTCGCAATTCAACATTGAGAGAACATCAAATCAAATAACGAAACACAAAGTACATACGTTTTTATTCATGTTATATGCATAGCTTCCGGTTCATGTAATTAAAATATATTCAGCGTTTAGTGGCAATAGCGCCCGAATGAACCACACTCACAGAAGCAGCAGGAGTGCGAACAAAAATGTGAATAAGAACAGTATTGGTAAGTACTAATTCTAAAGTTTTTTTCTCTTCTCTCTACCTCTATCTCTCTTGGCTTGTGTATGAGTACTTCTGCTGGGAGTAAAAAAATTCTTATTTCTTAATGTTGTTGTTGTTTTTTTGATATATCTCTTTCTTGTTTCGCCAGCTTTTGTCTACAATGAATATATGTGGCGTTGAAAGTGTATCATGATCTGCTCGTTTGTAACGGCATTGAGAACTAGTAACATTTTAGAGTTTCATAAGTTGTTTTCTCTTTATCGCGGTTGTTGTGTATGTACATTGCACTCATACATTCTTGCTTTCTCTCTGGTGTAAACGGAATTTTTCATCAGCTTCTTTTGTATTCAACTAACAGAGCAGCACCTGCGGAGATATAGTGAAACGAAATAGAAGGTTCAGAGAACGTGAACTTAAATTGTTTATATTTAAAATTTAGTTAGACGTATAAAAAGCGCACGCTCTTCAGACTCACGTCGTTTGCAACCATTTTTGTTTTAGATGTGTTGCATTTTATTTGAACTTTTTAAGCTGTTATTCTTACCATTGAAACAAAAACGTAACGCAATTTATTCCCATGTTTTTGAATCCTTTGTGCCCAATACTTGCTGCAAATAATTTTCTGATTAAAACTCTCACCGCATACAAAGTTTTCCACCACAAATGCGTACCGATTGTTGTTGTTTTTTTTTCTCTTTCTGTCAGTGGTGAAAGTGAATTGAGCGCATAAGCGCGGACTTCGTTAATTAAATACCATTGAAAATGTTATGTAAAGGTAATGGTTTTTGTAAACGTTTGAAAAAATCAAAACTGCACTAAAACTTTGTGACATGTGTTTTTGTAAATATCATGTTGAATATCGTGCTGAGTGGAATTTTCTTTTTGTTATCAATTGTTTTTGCTGTAACATTTGTTTGCTTGTTCTATTCTTTGTTTGGCATTCTTTGATAAATTCACCACAAATGACGTTGAATGTAATGCTTTTTTCTCGTCTAGTTCTGGCAAAATTCTGAACCGCAGACTCTATCCTGCTTAGTATATCCTGTTCAATCAGACTTTATCGTTTTAATTGTCAAGCGTCGTCCGTTCACACAATAAACCGAAACTTTCACGTTGTTAGCACACTAAAAATTAAATGCCAAAAAATCAAACAATACGATTCAATTTGGGCATCCGTTGGCGTTCACCATCACCGAAACAGAAGGATAAGACGGAGAACTTGCTCGCCGCCAATGTCTTTTGACTCTTGATTTTATTTAAGTTGATTCTTTTGTTTGGCAATATTCAAAGTTCGGAACAAACACGACCGAATTTATCTCAAACTTATATGCGATGGTAAAAGCATGACGATGTCGCCTTTAGCTGCACAATCTCCTCTACGATCGGCCATGTAATCTGTGTGCCATTTTCATTTTAATCTTTCATTGTCGACACTGGCATTTATTCTCATGTCATTTCGTCTTTTCTGATAAACGTAAGTAAAAACACATAAACTATGAACATAAAACACTTGCACGCAACATACACAATATATATATTATAGATATAGATTGATTCACTTTGGCTGAAGCTAACTGCAGTCAACTAGCTACAAACAGCCAGCGAGCAGAAAATGCGAGTCACTGTGAGTCGTTCAAGTTCAATCTGTCGAAAATTATCTCGAAGAAAGTTGAAAACAATCCAATGTGCTCATCACATTAACCATACATCGTAGAGATAATAATGTGTTGCTAAAATTGGCGAACGGCGCAATAGACAAAAGGCCGTGACTGGATGACATTTAATGAATAAATGTGTCCAAATGCCGACTATGAAAATCCAGCATTCCACGAACCAACAAGATAGAGAGAAAAAAAAATCGAATTTCTTTCACTTGAATTATAAGAAAATGAAATGAATCGTCGACGAATGGAGAAAATTATATACGTCTATCTGTCTTGATCTAATAAACAGTCGGTGCGTTGATAAGAAACCAAATGAAACGAAATGAAAAAGAATCAAATCTTGAAAGTTAGTTTTTGATTCGTTTTTATAGAAATGGTTCGTCTTTGATAAATGTGCACAATATTTCACTTAAATTTTACACATATGCGCGAACGAATTTCAATGCATATAACCACTCTCATATACGTAGCGCGTATGTTCGAAAACTGAATATTTCTTTTTGTTGAAAAACATACGATACACATTCGTTCCGTTCAACGGCTGACTTCAGACTGAGTCGCCTTTCCATCTGGATGAAAAGGGTGAAGATTCGCTCACTGTGCTCAGCATGCTGTGTGTATATTTTTATGCCGAACTCACAAATCTGTACAGACGGTTTGCACAGCAAAATTATTCCACTTACATTGCTTGACTTGAAACTGTTATATACGACCAGTGGGTGCCGAAGCATATGATATAAATGCTGTGGAGGGTGAACACACATTTTCTATCGCTCTCTCATCCATATTTTCTCTCTTCTGGAGGAAAATATTCTCTTATAATGTCAAACAGTGCGGACTGCGGTCCATACGCGGTAAAAGCGATGAGGGGTGCGGAGAGGGTGCGCGTTTGAGTGAGATTCGCTTGTATTTAGTGTTTTGGTAATGGCATCGCGTGTGAGCGATAGCGGCGGAGAAAATTGATAGAAAACATACATTTCATTTGGTTAAGTGCATGAAAGATAGAACAGAGTGAATGAGCGAACGAGCGACGATGGAGTCTCTATCATTCGCATTAATCCTGTATAGGATAACAAGCTCACATATTTACTAATGTGTTTAAAAAAAAATAATACACACACACAAACACACATTTGAAGCCGCAAATCGTTCAGCTTGATGTTTACCGCTTTGTGCACTGTTTTTGCATTTGAGAAGAGTGAACCAAAGTGAAAGTCAAAATAAAATCCAAAATAAATTCTAATATGATATATAGGTACATATACATAGACACATGGTGTTTCTCTGAATAGATAGACAGATAAAATACGTATTTATGCTGCATATACATTTGGTAGATATATGTATTATACATTGTGATACGCTCATTGCTCATATATTAGATCGTATTGACATCGGTTCATGTTCTGCTCTCTTCCTCCCCCATTTTCATTCATTTTTGCTGTAATGCCGCGCTCATCGTCAATTTTACTTTCAATCAAATGTCTGTTTGCTTTCCTGAATGCCACGTATAATGCACACATTTGATTTGCAATGCCATTGCGAATTATTTTATAGAAATCTATGCGGTACCGATACCGATTTGGCACTTATTAAATTGAATTCGATGTTGATGGGCACGCAATAGCATTTGTTTTACTAATCGACAGAAATTGACGCGAGCGGTGCGCTTGGTTTGAGCGCGTCCGTGAATTGTTGTCATTTATCATGCAATAGCAAAATATTTCAATTTCGTCCCATACATGATGAGCGAATGCCGAATCGACGTCTATGACATCAATGGCAATCAGAATTGTTTCAATATGATTTATGTGTTGCTTTAAGGCATTTCCATTTCAATTTATTAGAATTGACAAACTTGAAATGCAAAGATCTTCTGAATACATTAGGGTTTTGACCTTTCTTCAAAGTTTTTGTTGTTGTACAGTTTGTCGCCCGTTTTTCAAATAGATTCACGTGTCTCTGCTCCACTTAACATCCTGTGCTCCATTTTTCACTCTTTCGACATTTTCTGATACTTCCTCGTGATGGCGCTGTCAATCTAGAACACAACAGCACACAATAAACTATATGTAAATATAGTACAATTTTTACAATGTTTGCATATGAATGTATACTTTTTCAGTGTCACCGACAATGATTAATACAAAGAATAATTGCTCTTTTGTTAATTGATTTAGAGCAAATATACAAAAAAGAAGCACAATTGTGTATTAACCCCGGGGCGTATGATTTGAACTCGATGATACTGTGTTACTACTGCAAAAAAAAAGTAAGAACCCAAGGCGTTTATATGAAAAAAATACTTTATACATATTGAATTTTTTTCTTCTTAAATTAATATTGTTGAAAAGATGTTCTTTCTCTGTAAGGTATGTATGCGAATGCGTTCCCAAAAATATTATTGTTTATGATATATGGAGGAATCTTGAATAATAATCAGTTTTTATTTAATTTTGATATTTTCGAAAAGAGATTATATAAAAAAGAGCAAATATGTATCAATTACAATGATCGAGTATCAACCATAAACTGAGAATTTGATTCCCATGTTGCTTGTCCATAAGATTTATAAATAGTATGATTATCAGTGGAGATGACTCATTGTAGACGGCGTACAGACACTAGAGTGTGTCAATATTTGCATTGCCATGGTAATTGTTTGGCCGTACAATGATTCTGTACAATGACTCTGGCAGATAAAGTGTAGAACATCGACGAAATGAAAAGAATATCTATTGACTATGAACAAATAAAACTAAAGTGGGACACATTTTCGAGGTTACCGTGTTTTCAATGTTCCCATCGCACTTCAAATACAATCGTTTTTTAATAAGCATCGACGAAAAAACGGTTTTAATTGATTACCTATTGAATCAATTAGGTAAAACGGTTCTTCATGCCAAAAATATTTGGAAAAAAATCGCACATTTTTCAATCTCATTAGAATGTATTCATATTTTTTTGGTTCTGTACATAAACAAATGAGTACACGAAACACGAATGTCAATCGATATTTATAATCCACAGATAGAAAAAAATACCGATTACCTCGAAGCTTATGTTTTGTTTTACTTGCTATAATTAAATATTTAGTTTTCGTTTCGACGAATAAATTTCATTAAAATAAAACACACCGTTTAAAAAAGTATAAAAGGGAAAATAGATTGTTGGAATTCATTCATTCAAAAAGTTTCATCTTTTACAGCAGACAATTCTATCACAAGATGTTCAAAAATACAATTTCCTCAGTATTTTTATCGTTATTTGCAGTAAGTATCTGGAATTTCTTCCAACGAATTATTTTGGGGAGTTTTCCTTTAAGTGAAACTATTTGTTTCAATTTTGTGAAATGTTTTTGACTTAGTTCTCGTGTGCAAAAAAGTGATCAATAGTCAGTCAAATGCAGACGAATTTATTCGACTTATATTTGATTGCTTTTCATATGAATTTTTAAAAGTCGGTCACTTAATTTGGGGCATAGGTCAAGTTTGAGTATAATCTTGTTTTGTGTTTGACAATCACTATTAGATACTCAAAAATGTCCAAAAATAAACATGTGAATAGATAATCATTTTTTTTCACATGGGTTGAAATCTTTGGGAGAGGCTGTGTAGTTTTAGTAGAAATTTCGGTCCAAGTGAGTCAACAGGTCAAATACTAATAAGAAATCAACTATTTGTCATTCAAAAATTCGGATCAATTTACTTATTGCTTGTGTTTCATTTATATCAATTAATATTTAAATTTACTGAAAATGCATTAAATCTTGCTTGCAGCTTCAATTAGCCAATGGTGCCATAACCGGGCAATCACCTGGCTCTGTACAACCCGTTCAATACAATAAATCTCCGGCATTCGGTTCGGTTTCGAATGCAAATCTCAATCCAAATGATGTAAATAGGCCAAACCAACGAAATGGAATGTTTCCCGTTTCCGGTTCATCAAACACGGGCTACAATATGCCATACTATCCATCACCGTATCAACAGTATCAGATTCCTCAACAGTTTCCTCCACAGTATCCACAACAGTACCCGCAACATTTTCCATACTTTGCCGCTCAATATATGAACGCACCGTCACCTGCATTTATGAATCAATATCCAGGATTACAATTTCAATCACAACAACAGCAACAACAGCAACACCAACAACAATATCAACAACAACCAGAATTTCAACCACCTCAACGTTATCAATCGCAACCACAGCATCAAACATTTGGACAATTCAGTCGAATGGGTGAACCAGGCAAACAACAAGCCGAACAAGCCAAATCAAAGCCTCCACAATAAGGATAAAGTGGTTATCAATCAAACGCCCTATTTATTTTAAATTAGTTTTTTTTCTTCTCTCTTGAACTATAGAGCCCTAAATCAACATACCATTTATTTGGAAACTTAATAAAAGCGCCTTATCAATGAACCCATGTCGTATACCTTTTTTATTCAATATGTATTATGTATTTATGTGTAGCTTACCTCTTATTCCGTCCGTAAATGAATAAACTACTTTCATGAACTTGAACATGAGCGAAAAAAGAAGAAGGTGAAAATTGTTTATTCTCAAACTAAAAAATTGAATCAACTTCTTTTTACAAAAAATAAGAATTTGCTATTTGCGTAACGTCAAGTGGTATGTTTTTTGAATGCAAACAAATTCAATTAAAATTGTTGAAAGACTGAGAAAAACATTCATTTCGTTTCGCTCGCTTTGTTTGGACAGATGTTTTTGTGATGTGTGAGTGGATGTAGCGTCTTTTGCAGTAGAAAGAAAAAAAATGTTCTCGGCATTCAACAGAAATGAATTCTCACGTTTTTCTTCTCGTCAAGTTTGAAGGCAAAGAAAGCCGCTCATTATAACCGTAACTTGAGCTAGGCCGAACGCTGAAATTTCTGTGAGCATCAAAAGTTGTGAAAACTTAGTTGAATATATGAATGGCTTAAAGAAGGTTTTACAAAAAGCATCTTGTAAAATGAAGCACTTTAGTATCATTGGCATAATTTCTGCAATAAAAATACGAGTTGACATGAATACGTTTTTGATCTATTTATTCATTCATCCACTCATCATGGAGGTAATTTTAATTAATCCATTAAAATCATTTCTTATTATTAAAAAGTTTTGTGCGTGAAACCATTGCATGAAATTTCAGAGTGATGCAACAATGCCGGCATTCATTGGTACATTCATAAATCCATTCGTTAATCTTCTTTCATACGTTGGGTTTCCGGTGCAAAAACATGATTATTTTGATGCAGAAATTATGGCTGACGTTCGACAAGTAAACGAGTTTGAAACTCCTGCTAAAGTTGAAGAAATTGTTGATGCAAGCGTTAATTCGAATTATAATCGAAACGAGCAATTTGAATGTGGACCAGAAATACCAATTTTATTACTCAACAATGGAAAACAAAGTCTTATTATGAGATCAACCGATGGAAGTAATGTCATTCAATGGAATCAATATAAAAAGGTTTCGGAAATGCGAATCAAAACAAAATATGGCGTTGATGAGAGTTTGGCAGAATTTTTGGCTCAAGTTTCACAAATGAAAGAAAGTAATACGCCAAAGCGTTATCGACCTATGCCACCAACTATGGTTCAAGGTAGTTGGAATGAAACAATCACACAGCCAATTGCAAACAAACAAATCAACCGCGAAACTTCTAAAACTGCGCAAAGTACATGCAATCAATGTGATGATGATGCAGAAACAGATGTTAAAAATAGACCACACTTTCCGATTTCGACACCGACATTTTACCAATTTTAAGGCTTCGTCCTATTTAAACAATTTGGTTACGAATGGCTTAGACAATTGAATAAACGATTGCATCATTCTGAACAATACTGTTTTATTTTTATCAAACCCAAATTATATGTGCATAACAATGGATTTTTTTTAGTGGAGACGCCACAATTCGTCTGATTTCACTCAATTCTTTTCAGGGAAAAAATAACTCATCGAAAAATTCAAATGAAACAAAAATTATATGCCAAAACACCAAGCAACAAATTCGCTCAACTCGATGCAAAGAGAGCAGACTTCTTGAAAGTTCTAACAAAAGTTCAAATTCGTCCTATTCGATCTTTAGAACAACGTTTGGTATGAGAATAAGCTCTGAGAATGAGTGTGAATAGAATCGTAAATATTCGGTCGAATCAATGCCGTACACATTATTGTGTGTAAATTTGAACTTCACTCAAATTCGTTCCGTTGAATATGCAAACAATGTGAATATAAATTACTCAATCAGCTGTTCTACAGCACATTTGTTGAGCCAACAGAAAGTGCTCTATTTTGTTAAGCCGCTGATGCAATAAATTTAGTGGTTTTCAACATTGTGTCTCATATATATATATACGCACCGCGTTCGTTGACAGTTTAGTTGAACAAATCAAATCAGTTACATACAGAACGTCGTCCGAAGCGGATTGAATTAAAGCGTACTCCCAGCGAAAAAAAGTATTTATCATCGATTTTTCAAATAGAATTTGAATTGTTTGCACAAATTGAAAACGAACATTTAAAGTGAACGAAAAATGTGTGGAATTTTAGTAGTAATGTCACCAACGGGTGAAATAAAAATTTCGCCAAAATTCGGTAAACGAATTCGTTCGATACGTGAAATGGCGTATAAACAGTCGAAAAAGCAAAGACATCGCGGACCGGATCATACAGGTGTTGTAGAGTTGCCGGATGACGGTATTATTTTTGTGCAAGAACGTTTGGCCGTTTTGCTTCCAGAAACCGGTGACCAACCATTGAAATCGAAAGATGAATCAATTGTATTGGCGGCAAATGGTGAAATTTACAACTATTTGGAATTGTCAGCTGAAATTGCAAAGCAAAAAGGAAAATATGTACCTCGCAGTGATTGTGATGTTATCATTGCAATGTATGAAGAATTTGGCAGCGAAGAATTTATGCATCACATAAGCGGTATGTTTTCATTTGCATTGTACGATAAGAATGCAAAACGATTACTGGTGAGCCGTGATCCAATTGGCATCATTCCATTGTACATGGGCGTCGATGATATGGGAAATTTATGGTTTTCCAGTGAAGTGAAGTGTTTAGTTGACGTTTGTGATACAGTAAAAGACTTTGAACCGGGCACATTGTTAACAGTGGAAAATGGCAATGTTACACAGACGAAATACTATCAGCCGACATGGATTAGTGAAATCCCGACGAGAAAAGCTGATTTAACATTGTTGCGACAGCAATTAATTAATGCAGTTCGATCACATTTACAATCAGATGCACCGTTTGGGTCATTGCTGTCCGGTGGTGTTGACTCAAGTTTGATTGCTTCAATTGCAACGCAAATTTTACGCGAACGTGATCCGAACTATCGTTTGAAAACGTACAGTATTGGTTTGGAAAATGCACCCGACTTTAAATACTCCAACATGGTAGCAGATTACATTGGCAGCGATCATCGTGAAATTATCTTCAAAATTGAAGACGGTTTGGATTGTATACGTGATACAATCTATCATACAGAAAGTTATGACATTACAACCGTTCGATGCAGTATTCCGATGATATTAATGGCACGTCTTATTAAATCAGAAGGTTTGAAGATGATATTAAGTGGTGAGGGTGCCGATGAAATTTTCGGCGGATATTTATATTTTCATCAAGCGCCAAACGCACAGGAATTCCATCATGAATTGGTCAAACGAGTATTGCAGCTGCATAAATTTGATTGTTTGCGTGCCAACAAAGCAACAATGTCATACGGTTTGGAGTTGCGCGTTCCATTTTTGGATACAGATTTTCTAAATCATTCGATGAGCATTCGGCCAGAGGATAAAATGGCCGGTATTAAAAATCAATTTGCACAAGAAAACGGTCGTCGCGTTGCTCGCATTGAAAAGCATATTTTACGAGCTGCATTTGCCGATGATTATTTACCCGATGCCGTTTTGTGGCGACAAAAAGAACAATTCTCCGATGGTGTTGGATATTCATGGATTGATTCGATTCGTAGTTTTGCCGAATCACAAATTGACGACGCTGAATTCGCAAAAGCCAATGAAATATACCCAATTAATACACCAGCGACGAAAGAAGCATTTTATTATCGCGCTCTGTTCGAAGAAATATTTCCGGGTGATACATTCGCAGATACAGTGACGAAATGGGTGCCACGAATCGATTGGGGGTGCAACCAAGATCCATCTGGTCGAGCACAAACAGCTCATACAGCTGCTTACAAAGATAAATAAAAAACCAAATATGTTTTCTTTTTTTATAATTTTCAAAAATTTATTTTTATCATAAAATTTATCGGATAAAATCTGAATTTTTCATTTTCGATTAGATTGTTAAGTTTAAATTTAAACATAATTTGGTATCACCGATCACAAACAGGAATATACTCTAGGCATAAGACTTCATATGTATAACTGATTTTTTGGCATGGTTATATAATAAATTAAACGAGTATTTATTTACTTTGTATACAATATAAAAATAAAATCCCTTTTCTCCATTCATTCTAGAAACATGAATATTTCGCTGTTGTTTTTTTCTTTAATATTTATACTCCGATACAGATAACGATCGTCGCTCACACTTTAAATGGCATGAGCGCGTTACGTATACATCACTCTGAACTTCAGACTCTTTCGTTGTCGTGTGTACGCTCGCACGATATTTATTTTCCGTTTCACACGAGTTGCTTGAACATCGAAAACTTGTTTGAATAAATTCGTATAAATTTAGCACTCGAAGATAGCGTGTCATATGTTTACGTCACTATGGTAGAATAAATGTATGTATGTTGAATGGTTGATATTCTTTAATTTGAATATATGTGACATTCAGCAAAAAAATGTGATACGGTTACCGGCTTTGATATTGGGCTGTGAATGCCATGGTAATTGAATATTATGAGAGTGTTGATTGATGGCAATGGGTTTGATATTTATCAATCTATTCTCGGCATAGAAACCGGTATGATCAAATTACAAACAGAATATAAACTTGATTAGTTCATGTTCTGTAAAATCACTGCAGTGTAAAATTGTCGTTTCAATCAATTGAGGCAAATTGATTCTTTGAATTTTAAATTGTTAACAAAAAGATGAATTTATATTTATATAATTAACTCTCTAATTCACAGATTTTTTTCTAGGTGATTTTGTTGTGAAAATACTCAAAAAATAATCATGATGTTAAAAAGTGTGTGGTTTGCAAAACATTGACAGTATGTCGGATTTTGAAGAGAGACATTATTAACTTGCTGTCTGAAAGAATAATAAAAAAATAACCGGAAAGAAAGTAAATCACAAGAAAAAAATACGTCTCGTAAGAATCACAAGCTGTAAATAAGCTTTATCGCGGCGGCATTGCTAGTTGCTTCTGAAAGGCTTCAGACCTCATGTAATTTTGTTTTTATTTTTGATTTTGTTCTTTCTTCGTTTGAATGGTAAATCGTACAAGATTCATTTAATAGGTAGTAGGCACTGTTTTGCACACCGAAAATGAATCTTATCAGTATTTGAGTTGCGTTTTTTTATTCATAAAATTTCACTTTCACGAGAAGTGTCGTGTTTAGCGAATTTAATACTTACTCATTTTCTGTATAAGGCAGCAAAATACCTGAGTAACAAAAAAATATGAATAGCTGAAATAAAAAAATGCGACAGTAAAAAGAGTGAAGCTTCAAATCTGAATGTTCGATTATTTAAACTTAAATTTTATTTTTCGTGTGTTATTTCGAGTTGTATGAAAACAACAGAATGTCTTTTATATGTATGAATACATGATAATGTTAATAAAGTTAGTTTTATAATTACAGCTAAATTGTTGTATATTTTGCGTATGTATTTGTTCTATTGAGAGAGCTATTAAATGCAGCAGTATTAAATTAGTAGCAAATTTGCATGAAAGTGTATATCATTGTTACAGGTGTATCTACTAGTATTTTTCTTTCTGTACTTTCTGTCTCAAAGACTAAACTTGTACTTTGGCGCTTCCCAATCTCTTTTTTTACAACATTCTCTCCTGTGTGTATGTTACTTAAGATATTACCGCATATTTTGGAACAAATGAACATTTGGCCAAATACAAGTTCATCAATGTGTGTGTGTGTGTCTCAATAATCTAAATTGCAGATTGTTTTGTTTTAAACACCCACAAAATGAGCATTACATGTTCATTACGTCTAAATACATCTTTTTTATATATTGCGAAGCGATTTAATGTAATTTTTATTCTAACAATTCGTTGTTCCTTTTTTCAGCCAAAAAAAAAAAGAGAAAAAAGTATTTTCATTGCACTGGATCTGCCTCAACATTTAACCAAAAAGCTATGAATGATATTTTAAAAAAACGATGACAAAATAAAATTGAGTTTAGGTGATTTGCGAAAAGGAAATACTCGCAACCCAAACCACACTATCGAACAGAGCTACACGTCAGGGAAAAATGTTTATCATTCTGCTAAATTTAACAATATATAAGATTAAATTTCATTATTATTTACACACATTGAACGAAATCAAAACGACCAATTCGTCGTTTGCATATATGTTCTCGATTATTACACTGTTTTACGATAAATGCTAATAGTTGACATTTGATGCAATAGAATGAAAATTGGATTCTTTTTACTACTTACAACTTATTCTTATTAATTAATATGCTGATTTAGAGTTTTCTCTTAATTTTGAAAAAGTCATTTTTCAACTTAAAAAAAAACTGAACATCCATTCTTATTCGAATAACATTTATAGAACAAGCTTACACAATACAAAAAGTAAAAAGAAAAAATAATAATAATTTAAATGCTTTCTTCAATCAAGAAAATTAACAATTTAAAATGAATACAACGGAGCACTGTCAAGATAAATGTAATGAAAACTAAAATCTCGATAATGCGTAGTGCCACTTCTTTTCGGTTACTATAAATTGTATGTGCCTAGTGTATGTGATGCTGGTTGATATGTTCGGATTTTTTTTTCTATTTGCATACGTTGGGTTCAATCCATTGAAAATAAAGTACATCAACTTTCATACTTAACAACACCGCATCGAACGCTTTTACGATGGAGACGGTTGAAATGTGTTACAACTTTATTTCCTTTACGTTCATTTTTCACTGCGAAATGAACTCTTGCTTCATTCGAATTCCAAGTTCATTCAATAGGCTTTTTCAGTTCCACCGTTAAAACGCACTTTTCATTTTACTACTTGGCCACCATCGATGTGTGCACATTTTAATTAGATTTCTAGTTGAGTATATTGTAAAAATTGGATTTTATTTTTCTGCTTATGTTGAAGTCGTATACCATCCGGTTGAGGGTGCAGCTTTGGAATGGTGATACAAATGAAATCCGCTGTGATGTGAAAAATATTGCGATTGATCAATGCCACCATAAGCATCGATTGAGTTAACGTGATGCATGGCCGCTGCCGCTGAATACGGTTGTGGTTTCAATGGTAGCGATGGGAGTGTATCATTCAGACTTGACGTTGTGCTGGCAACCGTTCCATTGGCCGTGTATTGATTTCGCAGTGAATCGGATAAATCGAATGTATTTGTCGTTGATGGATGAAGATTTGTAAGGGTTTTATTATTTGCTATCGAACTGGCGGACGATTCACGTGGCGATACACTACTTGGCGGTGTCATTGCATTGTGATAGTCCATTGTTGATGGATAACTACCGTATGGTGAAACTAAATTTGTATATGGATCTGGTTTTTGATGACCGTGCAACAAGAATTGGTTGTCAAACGATGATTCACTGCCGGGTGGCGTTGGCAGTGGGCCCGATGACGATCCGTCTATTATTAAAATGGACAGGAAACGTTATTAATTAAAATGTATTTGAAAAGTGATTGTTGAGGGTTGGATTGTCTTTGTCTTACCTGGATAGTACCCGCCTGATGATTGTCTGGCTGTAGCTCGAATGACACTTTCACGATTTGCATACAATTGTCGTAGCAATGCTGTGGCTGGCATTGGTGCATTTTGTTGATGGAATGGATTGTGATGTGTGCCAATCCATTGAATGGTGCTACCTTTATCTTGTTGTTGTTGTTTCAGAAGTGAATCAGCACTAAAATCGGTTGTGGTAGTATTTGTATTATTGTTATTGCTATTAATTGGCGATGGAAGGTGTTTTGACATTGCATTTTCCAAATCTTTAACCGAACTTTCACCATGCTCATCAACCACCGCATCCGATGGATTTATATTTAAGGCAACGCCATTTACTTTTGAATCGGCCATCATTGTGGTGTCGGTGTCAAGATGTTTTGCTTTGCGTTTGTGACCTTTTCGTGTGCTTGTACCCGAACTGACCGGTGTTGGTATTAAATGATCATCGGATATCGGTCGAATTGTATTATCCATTGTTAAATTTGTTATTGATGAATTTGTTGATGAACGATTTCTGGCCCGTGTACTTGTATCGGTCGTTTCGGACTTTGGTGTTTTATGCTCACTTGAACGATGTGCACTTTGATTACCATCAGATGGATCATTTCCAGGCGAACCGGCACCTTTATCACCCGACAAATCTTCATGCTTTATTATATGCTCCAAACCATTTTCCATTTGAATGCAATCCAATATTAAATTCTCATTTTCACGATTGCTCACCACATAATTCACACAAATTATATTCTGTTCGTCGGCATTTTTTGAATTACAAACAACCGTTGCACACGTTTGTAACCATGTATAACCACCATTTTTATTCATAAAACGATAATAATGAGTTAATACTTGTCCTTTGTTTATAACTGTAATTAGAGGGAAAAAAACAAAATGACGAAATCAAATTTTCGCTTTATTTCGAAGCAACATTTATCACAATATACTCACGATCCAAATGACTCTTTTTCAATTTATCAGCATCTTCAGCATGACATAAATTATACAAATTTCTGCCAGTCAACTCTTCGGCTGTATAGTCCAAGAGCTCTGTAACCCTGAAAATGATTGATCAATTGTATTCAAAATGTTATTTCAAAATTTATCGAAATTTATTTCGTCACTTGTACGTACTTTGGTTCACAATGTGCAATTGTGAAATTGAAATTGATGCGTGTGACAAACATGTCAGTTTCCAGGCGAATTTCATGTACTGATGGAGGTGGCAATGCAATTGCCAAGGCGACCATACCCAATAGTGGTGGCTGTGATTTTCTCGTATGCGAATATGTGTATTGCGGCCGTAGTCGACATAGCATTAATACCACCTGAAAAATATGCATCGATGAAACGATTTAATTAATCATCAATTGATGTGCATATTAATGCAAAATGCTTATGAAGTAAAAAACGAACTTCGACTGAATTCTTTTTCGTGTGAAAAACAAATAAAATGCTTCTTCATTGTGTCATTGAGAAAGCCATATAAACGAAGTTTTTCGATACTGATCAATAAATCAGTTCTGTTCAAGTTTGCAGTTTCGTCTTAACCCAATAAAATCAATCAAATCAAACATTTATATAAAATAAAGTACTCGAACATACACACATACAAGCACATTCTAACATTCTGTTTCAATTTATAAAGAAATTAAAACAAAGTCAAGCAATTGTAAAAACGATTGAAACTGAAGATTCTTTTGACGTGAACAAATAACAAACGACTCAATACAAACAAAATCATAGAAAACATCACAAAACTGATTTGATGATACGTACCGAATAATGATTGCCAGTCGATTTACCAACTTTGCCACCGTTGCTTACAACTTTATCAGAATCCTCGATTCCCTGCAGGCAATGCAATACGACACATTACATTAGACTAATTGTGACAATAACGCTCGCTAACTTAGTCATTCAACAAAAATTTAACTCAAAAGCGATTACCAATTCAATTATGGACAAAAAGGAAACAAACAAAATAATACTTGTGTGTTTTTTATGAGGCGCTCAAACTAAAATCTCTATGTCTAATTCACAACTGACCGAAATGAAATTGGATTAAACAAATTATGAATGAAAAAAGACCGATGGTTGTACAGACGAATAAATAAATCAGCTCGGGTTTTGTTCATTCTTTTATTTTTTTTTGTAAAAAGTTTCTCTAGTCAAATTCGTTTTTAATTTCATGTATCCGGTGAAGGGAGTGGGTTTTTTTTAAATGCAGTTAATTGAACCCTTACCCGATAGCCAGATGATTTGAAATGACATCCTCGTTTTGTCAACGTTGACTTCATTCGCACACAAAATGCACGTTCGTATCCTTTGTATGTATTTGAACTAACCGACATCACCGATGAAACTGTGAACAAACAGGAAACGAATTAAAATTAAGAAATAAGATGTGAAAAAAAGCACCAAATCGAGAGAAACTAATGAATATTACCATCTGGATTGTTTGTTCCCTGATTTGCTCCGCCATCTTCCGAAATGCCGGACGATGGTGATGCCATATTTTGGTTGCTTGCCAATCCCAAACCCAATTGTTCAGCAATTTCAGCATGATCTTGATGATGAACATAGTCAAAAATGCTGCTGCCGGTCATTTCAACCTAAGAATAACCAATAAAATCGAATCATTTATGTATTCGCCGCCATTAAGAAGAAAATTCGAAGAAATTGTAAATCATTTGCGCTGTTGTTGTTTTTTATTGGTTTCCAAATTTTCGTTCTCATTTTCTGTTTCGAAAATGAGGAGTTCAGTGACGTCTGGGGGATGATTCATTGAGTTGTATGTCAAATTCATCACAACAAATTTCACTGTGTGTTTGTGTGAGTGTCAGAGGAGATGAAGAAGAAATTATTGAAAATGTGGTCGATAACTTTCTATATTGTAACCTGCAACACAAGCAATTTTCGCTCTATCGACCATCGAACCGTTGTAGCAGCAGCAACAACAAAATTTTCGACAATTTTCATCGTGCAACACAATCAAGCGAGTGGAACGTACATACACACATACACCGACATACAAATGAAAATTTTCCTGTCGCTGGTTTTTTTTCTCTATCTCTATTTCTTTGTGAAATTGCATGCCGATCACGTTTACTGTGGTACGTGCAACTTTTCCGTAATTTCGTAGATTAGGAGCTTTTTCGTTTTTCATCATTTCGTTTGGCTCTTATATTTGTTGAGTTTTGTTTTGTTTACTATATGGCAAAGGATCTCTCACTGCCAAAAATGACGTAGAGTTTCCTGATATCAACGATATGAGCTATGGACAATGCTGCCATGGACATTTGACGATGCTTTGGTATGTGGTGCAAATGTACGTGTGGATTTTTGGTGAACAAGAACACTTGTGAAAGCTACAGATATTTTACTATATACGTTCTATAGTAATTACAATTTTGGCTCACATGAAGGGGCTGCAAGTATCGCAACACACACACATACACACTGCATGATATTTATCATAGTAGTTTCATAAATTTTGGATAAGGAAACATTGTTTATCTTTCGAATACGCGTTCAGTTTTAGTGGATTAGTTGGCGAGGGACTCTTCTACTTTTTCAATATGCAAAAAGTACATAAATATTCGATGCTCCCTCTCATTCTTTTCGAAAAGTGAATCAGTAAACCAAATCAATGACGCTTAAAACATTAGAGTGATTAAGCTTACCTGTGATAGTCCCAAATAAATTGAAACAGTTTCTGAGATATATAAAAAGCGACCATCGGAAGCTAACGCTAAAGCAAATCCATCAAGCGACTGTGTTTTAGAGAGTAAATAAATGCAGGAATGAATTAGTTAAAGTCGTATGAAGTCACAAAATGGAGCATAAGATTCTCACCTGTAAAATATGAGTTCCTTGATGTTGTTCAAATAAATCCATGGTTAGTCCTGCATGCGTACGTCTTGATGCAGCTAAAAATAGAACAAATAAATGTTTATTTTACCTCGATTTTTTCATACATTCTATTTGTGTTCATGAAAGAAACGATATTTTTTCTATAAAATTGACACTCATACAGATTTCATTGCACGTTTTTTTTTACTTTCAAAAAAAGGCAGAAAAAGGTGCTGTAAAAAAGTTCATGTTATTGAAGTCATTCGATCTATTTTAGATCATTGGCGAATTGTTGTTTGCATATGGAACTCGATAAAGAAGCTTGACGATGGCAATGATGAAATCTACATAAAATTCAATTTTTGCTTCATTAAATGGTGTGTTCATGATCTAAGTTTAGTGCGTGAAAGTGGCCGTAACGATTTTGTGAAGATAGAAAAAAAGGCAATGTCGACATTGCGCCATTCCCAAATCGATTCAAAGAGAAATCGTCTCTCTTTGTAAACGAGTGTGACTAAAGTCATTCTTTTATTCAATGCGTTTTTTTTTTTCGTGTTGTAGTTTTGGTGTTTGTCATCAATGTGGTCACTTGGTGTTTGTCTCTGTATACGCCAATGAAACTCAATTTATCATACGTTCAATGAGCTCATCGCGTATATGATGGTCGCAACAACGGTAGAGAGAGAGAGAAGGGGGGGCAAATCATAAAAAAGCAAATCATATTCGGTTTCTAGTAAATGGAAAGGTACACCAACACATCAATTACCATACATTACGAAAATGGAATGAATGCATGAACAAAAGGGGCAGAGAGAAGGAAACAAAATAAAATAAAATAAAAAATAAATGTATTTTTATTACTTCATAGAAAGAAACACCAAATTCATTTGTTTGATAGAGAAGCGCAAGCATATAATATACGAACCCAAATGTGAAAAGCAACTCACACACACACATATACGGAAAATAAAAATAAAATGGATAGATAAAAACAATGTGTATACGGCAATGTGCGCGACATTATATCGTGCATTAGTATTTCGAATATGTTTTGATGGTATGACGGCACTGATAGAATTTTAAGTAGCTGCTAAAATGCGACATTTTTTTCTTTTTCAGTTGAAGTTGAAGTCATTTTCCTCAATTCAATTCCATTGATTCGTCGTTTCTTGATTTCATGGGCTAATCTTTGGAATGTTTGAAATGTTGCACGGTATAATGAGAAATATTCAGTTACATTGAAGTGGTAATGTGAAAATTTTAGCTTGAGAGAGCCGTTGGATTTCCAAAAAAGGTGGTGTCAATAATTTTTCTACATTCGAATGTCATACATTTAATGTCTGTGCTATAATAAAAATTGTAGACTGATTCATCAATTGGCCGACACTCTTACAAGGTGAACAATTTACATATACTTTTTTATATAAATATATCGCTTGCTTTGCCACCGTATTTACATAGCGGAAATCGCTTCATGATTATACTGGTGACAATCATTCTCTATCTCATTGTAAACAATGCTGAAATCCTTTCTCGGTATAAATTTGTTTGTTGTTTTCGAAGAAACAATGCAAATCTATTTACAATAGGGAACAGTAGTAATGGAATTATTCCATTTACGTATTTTTATCGCAATTCGAAATGACGTTGAATTGACTTTATTTTTATATAATTTTATTTGAGTTTTTTTAATGCGTAGCATTGATGAATTTCGTGAACGGAAATATTCCTTTCTTCCATAAAATGACCCCAGGAGTAATAATTCAAAATTCTGTTTTTGTCGAACGAAAATATGCACTTGAAATTATCAACAAATCCTTCGGTTTTATTTATGGTTTGAGGCTCGATGAGAAAACTTATCGCATTATTAGTTGAGTGAGGGTGTTAAATATCCCTGTACATATTAGCACTCTTTGTACCATTTCTTTTTTGACCGATCCATTCAGAAATGTTATTGAAAGGCAGAGAGAGAAAAAATAAATAAAGAAGACGAAAGAGAGAAAAAAATAAATAATTTTGGATGGGCCCTCAGGAGAAATTGTCCGTATTAACCGTATCATACAGCATTAGTCGACTTCGGGTGAAGTAGCCATTGCCAATCTATTCAATAAGTATTTCTAACGATACAAAATTGACTGGTCCACTGCTGCTGTTGTTGCTTTTGTTGATTCGTCGTAAAGAATAATATTTTTTTTTGTTATTCTCGGTTAAATTGACCATTTGAAAATAGAGAAAGTAACAACAAGGAGAAATGGCATGGACGCAAGTGTTTTTTTGTTTGTTACATTAATTCGATGGGATTTCGTGTATGCAGGGAGGAAAAAGATTTTGTTATTTATGTTTAAACCCGAAGAAAATCTGATGCATCCAAATACAATAAAAATAAAAACAACAATTTGATTCAATAAAATGATAACATTGAAAATGTAATATTTATTGCAAAGTAGAATGCGATACAAAAACGATAAGAAAAATGTCCAAATGAAGAATGAAACGGCGCTTATAGAGAACATTTTGAACCCGAAATTAAAATTTATCGGTTTCGATTATATTACTTGCGTTCGGAACGGTGGTAGTGGTTGGAGGTTCACAGTTTTAAAGTGAAGTAAACAAAAGACTTATTGTCTCCCCACAAATGTTAATCCAAAAAGCAAACACAAATGATATGTTGATTTGGTGCGTAACCAGCGAACGAAGAGGGTCGTAATCAAGTCGACTTGCACAAAAAACGACTTAAACTTGACAAAGATACCGTTTTTATAGGAAACACAAATTCGGAATGAGGCTACTTGCTTACATATATTTATCATTTAAATTTATTAAAATTGAATCAGATTCCTTAATTGTTTAACTCAATTAATTGCGAATTTGTTTGTCATGATACCACGAGGCAAGCAAAAGGCCTAATTATTGTCATTGGATTAAATGCAAATAAATAAGATTAAATCCAATTGTTGTTGTTGGTGGTAGTGGTGGTGGTGGGTTGTGTTTTCAGTTCGTTTTATCGGGTTGACTTGGGCGCGATAGGAATTTCGTTATTTAGCAAAAATTTGTTGGCATGCATCAGCACATAAATTGACGCATTGTACGTATTAACATATTGATAATGTCAATGCGCGCGCGAAACGTTATGGGCACTTTGGCCGAGAATGACGAGAAATTAAAATAGAAGGGTTCATTAGGATGGTATTTGTGTAAGAATTTTCGATTGTTAAGCGGCATATGTGATCCGCATTTCAAATGAGAACATTCAGAATGAGATTTATTTCATCTTTTTCACAATATCGCTCTCTCACCAGAACACTTTTTCTCCGCACTCGATGCCATTGGCATTGTTAACACACAAAAATATACTCATCTCATTGTTTATTTGAATGAAGAAAAACCAATTTTTTTTCTCCTTTTCTCTCTCTTTCTCGCCTTTTAACAACTAAATCACTTGCCACCAAATTATATTTTTTTCCACTGAAAAAAAGCATAGCTCGTTTGTCAGCTATTTGAACATTCATTTATTTTTGTATGTATGGTTTTTTGTGTTGTGCACATTTTTCGTGCACTGTGCTTCCATTGAAGGCAACACATTTACATATCAATCAAAGTGACATTCAACGCTAACTCTATTCTTTTAATTTACTTTAAACATTGTTGCGACCAATTTCAATTATTTTCTTAGGCTCTCGTATGTCAATTGGACAATGAACGAACCAAACAAATGCGGATTATGTGAAATATATATTCAAAAACAACAACGAATATGAGACAAATTACCGTGCACGGATTCCACGGAATTTTATTTCAGTAAGCAAACGAACCGTAATTTATATTGATTTTAGTGTGTGTATGTTGTTTTTGTCTTGACAATTGTCAACTACTTTTATGCAATTGAATTTCTCAGTTATTCACTAGCGCTTAGTGCTATGGTAATTACTTACATTTCAGTTTGTTATTGATTTCGCGGCCCCATTGTGGATCTCCGTGTGATGAAAAATCTCTGAGTTTTAGGTAGCTTATGGTCAGTCTTATGATCGATGCCTTATCCAATTGACTGGTTATTGCTGCTGGCAACGGCAACATTTTGGCCAATTCATAAAATTCAAAATTCTCTTTGCCACGACGTGAACGGGCTGCATCACGTGATTTTTCTTTACGGATTTCCAGAATTCTGTTGAAGAAAAATTTATGAAATTAATTTCAATTACATTTTATTCTTGATTATTCAATCGAAAGATTTCGAAAAAAATTCTACTCAAAATATCGTGTACAAATTGTACAGTACAATCAATGAATATATTTATTGAAAGCAATTAGAGATCTCGAGAAATGTGATACGATCAAATGAATTCGAGAATTTCATGTCAACTAAATGTTATTTAATTTGGTGTACACATTTCTCTCTCTCTCTCTCTCGCTCTCTCGATTGTATCTTCATTGCGGCAATGGTGTGTAAGCGAAAACTTGTCATAATGAAGCAACACACCCGAATTTCATTATGCAATACAATAAATACATTTATCATTTCGACCGAACACTGCAAGTATTTGAGGGCATACAAAAATCATGTGACCCTTGTGTGTGTGTTGACTTGGTTGCCTCTTTCGCTTGTTCCATGTTATACGACTCTAGATTCGAATACCCAGGGGATGAATATGTGTAAATTATTCAAGCAATTTGGTCAATTTGGCAATACATTCAATCGTGGTGTTTTACTTCACTTTGCAGTAATTCAAAGAAAAAGCATCCATACACACAGTCATATATTTGATGTACAACTCTGCAGTATTTTCGCAAAACTTAGTATTTCTCTTTTTTTTGTTCATCTTTTTTCGTTCGTTCAATCTTGGTCGGGGTTTTTCCATGCGAGAGTTTGCGAAAATTGACATTAATGAAATACAAATTTACGAGAACAAAGAAGTTTATATACGTTCGCGTCATGATGACATTGATGTGTGTTTGTATGGCTGAGGCACGAAAAGAGCATGAGAAATAGAAAAGCGTGACGCGTTCGAATGATTTTTTTCTTCCACTCACTCACTGCGTATGTGTATGTGCATTTGGCTGCCATGAATTGCACACCGATGATATGAAAAAGTGTAAATTCAATTTACATTTCGTTACTTGTCCAATTTGTAGTCGTTATAAAGAGCGTCCACGTCAAATGTGCGGGTGGAATGGAAATAACAACAAATAAGCAGTTTAAGTTGAAGAGGTCTTTTCTCTATTCGTCTTCGTTACCAACGGATTTTTTTTTACATCGACAGCATTTCAAATGTCAAGATATGGAAAGAAAAAAGAGATCTTTTTTCTGACTTTTTCACATCATCGATTTTATCTTTGTATGAAAATGAAGTATATTCATGTAAAGAATTTTTGCGACGGCTACAAACACTCCGTCTATTTGATGGATATTTGTTTGAAATGTATTTACTTTGTCTCTATCTTACACTTTTTATGTTTATTATTCAGTCATTTTATTTTGGTCATTCGAATCGAACAATCACATGATCGATGGAAATGTGGAGTAAAAGTAACTCGATTCCCAGGAGTCAATTTTATGATATCACAAAAAAAAGAGAGAAGAGAACAGACTCTCGCATTCAATCAATGATGCAAAATATTGGTCCGAGGTATTCGAAGAGCGACGGGCAAAAAGTCGAAGCTCAGCAAAAAAAGTGTAGTTTGTCACCGAATTGCAAGGTTGATGATATATACATAAAATTGCATGTGACATCAATAAGTTGTTATCACAAACATTGTGCGCTTCTTTTTGTCTGCCTTTTTTATCTCATTTGGCACAAGTTGAGAAAACAAGTGTGAGTGAATGTGTATCACTTTTATGCTGACTGGTCAAAAAATGTTTTCATACTCTCAGCAAATATGACGATTTATGCACTCTCCCGTGAGACACCAACTTTAATTGTATTAACGGAAACGCATGACCCCACATCGGATAGATATATTATTCAATTCAGTTGCTTCACAGTCTTTCTAGTTATAATATTTCTTTGTAATAATTAATTTCGACCGATGCACATTATCATTCTCTATTTTATTTTCTTTGTTTTGATGGAATCCACGTAACTGCGGTTGCAGCCGCCGTTTTTATTAACTTATAAAATGAAAATGTACATAAATGAAGTGATGGTTCTCTTTCTTCTTTGCATCGTTACTTGGAAGAAAGATGTTACCTTTCATCTTAAACAACATAAAAACATTGTGTTATCACGCGATAGCGATCGCGCGCGGTGAATGAAATATCCGACTGTAAATTACTTTTCGTTTCGTCTATCTTGATTTTGTGAATGAAAATCTTACGTTGTTGTTGAAGATGCGGCCACAAAAGAATCAACATATTAACATCACTGTAAATTACATCAACAAATCGGTTTTTTTTGTTTTTGATGACACTTTTTGAATTTCGCCGAAATTCAGATTAAATTATACGAAGATGAACGGCATATACAGACGATATTTTTCTTTTTTTGGCGGTAACCGACAAGACATTTACAAGACAATATAAAAATATTTCAGAAGTAATTTTTTTTTGTTAAAATTATTTTAGAAAAAAAAACCGAAAACAGACAAATTCGATGTTGTGAATTTTAAGATTTATTTATTTTTTGTCAAAAATTATTATTTTGACTTATCGATGGCAAAAAGAAGATTTGTCGTAAATAGTGAAAACCAAGTTGTATTTTAAATAAAGCGATGGTAATCTGTAATTCAAGTAAAAAAATGAATCTTAAAATATTAAGGTGTTTATCGTTTGAAATGAAACCCTTTTTTCGACGTTTCATCGGAATCACGTTTTCAAAATAATGTATTTGTTATATTGCGCTGTGCGCATTTTGTCTATTTCGCTTTTTTAGATTCGATTAAATGCTAGAGAAAAATATCAGACAAAAGATTGAAGCCACGACAAATAAAATTAAATGGAAATGTTTTCGCGTTTTGGTAATTCAAGTAAATTTTTGGTTCAGCTCTGTCACGTTTTACCACTCAAAATTCAATTATATTAAGCTCGTGTACCTTTACTAATCGTAAATACAACACAAACACTTCAGGCTAATATAAAAGCATAAAAATATTGTGTCGTGTGCGCAACGCATTCATGGAAAAAAAGAGGTAGACAAAAAAAAATTGAGAAGAAAAGAGTGAAAATTATTGTTTAGCATGTTTCATTGTGACTTTTGTGTGTTTTTCTCGTTTTTTTTTAATGTGGCAGAAGACAAATCGTTTCGACGAAACCGTTAACGCACACTTTTTTTCGTTGTTAATGAAAAGCGTGGATTTTCATTGGGTGTTTTCACATTTGTAATTCAAATATTTAACCAATTTACTGGTTTCAAATTACGCACAATGAAATTATCTTTCGGATAGATAAATACTCGCAAAATGGAGATCTGTTAAAAGCTAAAAGGATGAGAAAAAACCAATGAACACATTTTCCTTTTGTTTCTTCGCAACCATTGTTCTTGAGGCAAGAATTTGTATTGAAACGCTTGGTGAACATTATTTATAAACAATGTTGCCTTTGCGTCGATAGAGATCGATTTTATTCAGTTGAAAGGGTAATTTTTTTTTGAAAAATCTAAGGTTTTGTGATTGAATGAGAAAAAAAATGTTCTCAGGTCAATGTCTTCCGTCAGTCACTCAATTCAGAACAAAATAGGTTGCCGTCGGATTTACACTTTGTTTGTGATCATCACCTTTTACGATCGATTTGCGATTGGAAAATATTTGCACTTATTGCCAATGGCTTTTCACTTTACCTTTGATTGAAAAGAATAGTTTAATCTGCAAATTCGGAATGGCATGAAAAAAATATTCACGTCTTTGACAATATTTTTATTTCAAAATGAATTCATGCGTAACAATGGGATTATCTACTGCGAAAAAACCACAATGTATCAATATTGAACCGTTATTTTTGGCCACTAATCGAACCGTAAGAAACCCAACTTAGAACTTAATTTTTTTGCGGTTGCAAATTTTTCTTTTCACGAGACCAGAACTTCCGTGCACTTTGAGTTAATATGGATGTAATCGCTTAAATAAATTTTCTGGTTGACAGCGTCAATTGATTCGATGGAAAATGAAATGAAAACACCAATCAACAAATTGGGATGAAATGCGAAAAGAAAGCGAGAAGCGCAAAAAAACAAAACGCTAGTTAATCGTTAAAGACCCGTGAAAAGAACATGTATTCTTTTTCTTATTCTGTCTTCGCTCCGATTCTGAAATTCACCATTTAATTGGGAATATAACCCTTTGCTGTGTGTGTGTGAATGGTACAGAAGAAACCACACAAAAACCACAACGAAAGATTGTCTGCTCAAGAAATGGTTTAATTGAAAATTGGTAATTTGAATGTGTCGAACATCTTTTTTCAGGTGATATGTTTCTTTTTCTCTGTAAAACTTCAACAATAGCATTGTTGGAAGTTGAAAATGTATTTAGTAAAATGTGGTGTATTTTTTAGTTTGAAAGAGATTTTTAAAGTATCAATTCGATTTGATCGCATCGAGAAGAAGAAGTTCTGGTTGATCTCGATTTTTGTTCAATTGAGAATTTTTTTTTTCACTGAGAAATTCTTAAACTGATTGAATTTTTTTCTTATCGACTGAAACAATGAATTAATTTTTTTTTCCTATTCGTGAATCTAGACAGAGTGTCTGCCTGTTGAAGCGACAAATCACCAATCATCATTTGTCATTACCGACGCGATCGAAATTCCCGATGCGCACAATACCAAATCGACCATAGAAACAAAACAAAAAAAGAACAGAACATTCAACACAAAACTACCGGTAAATGTGAAATTAGATTTTTTTCGATCATCGCCCAATCGGTGGCGAGAGAATTGAATATTTTCATTTTAATGATATGCATCAAATGCTCGATTCAGATTCGATGATAGTATTGTTTTTTCCTGCACATAATAATTTCTTTTCTTCATTATCCGAATATCATTCTGAGAGAGAACGAAAAACAAAAATTTGGTTTGACCGTTGTGGTTGGTGCTGTGGTTTATTTATTTTCAACTCAAACCATAGGACAGGCCGTGAAATTGAACCTGATTTAAATACCTTAACACTTGTAATTTTTCTTTATTCTCACATATGTGTATTATTGAAAATCTCGTAACTAACGCGATTTCCAAACGAGCTACTGTGGTGTTGATTTGATTGAAAGAAAAAGAACTCAATTTAAGCGAAACAAAAACCGATCTTCACCTTTTTTCCAAGGAATCATTTGAATGTCGCACAAACCAAAAAAAAGCCTAATGCTTGTTCTTTTCTTCACACAAATGTTCAATTTTGGTATATTCGAATGCCGATTAAAAACGATGTTGAACCAATGTTTTCAACTGTTCGTGTTTTTTTTTTTTTTAACAAGAAAATTAAATCTTTTGTTGAAAACATACAGCGGAGTAAACTCTTTTTTTTTTTGTTGAAAGAAATAGTTCATTTTCCTTTGACGGTTTTGTTCCACTAAATTCCTGTAAAGTCATCGTTACAGCATCATTGCTGATGCGTCATCATTTTTATTCTTGAGATTCTCTCTATCTGTCTATTTATCGTACGACGCAACAATAAACGATATAATCTTCAGTTTTTAAATTGACTACTGTTTACCAGAAATTTTATTTTTTGAATGAAACAATTGACGCCAAGATGCATACGCAACGATATACTTGATGTTATGATGGAGATTATGGAGCTTAAGATTGATAAATTACATCAATAATAAGCACATTTTGAATGTGATCTGTTATTTGTTTAAACAAGATGATCATCATTATTTTCGGCGATATTTATCTCTACAGGCACACTTGTTTCGAAACACTAAGTTCGACGGCATTTTAAGGAAAAAAAAATAGTTCAAACTCATTTGAAAAAAGAGGAAGAACAATTTTTGTGTCAACACAGAAGTAAAATCAAATGCGTTCTTTTGATGATAATTCGAAAGAAAAACATGACATATTTTCAATCCAATAATAAACTGGACAATAGACCACAAGAATAATCCGAATTTCTATCAACATTTTCTTTTTGTTCGAATCGAAACGGAAATGAACTTGGAAATTGTATCTTCCCATGTTTGATTGACAGGATTAATTCCGATGAAGACAAATGTTCATATTTTCGATTGTGCAAATAAAATAGTGAGTTGGTAAATATGAATGAGAGAAGAAAAAAGAATCAAAATTGCTAATGAACTAAATGACCCTTTTTTTATTCTGAAGAAGAACAATTGCACTGATTGTTTTCAACACATTGTCCAATCGGACGATCACAGTATAATTGAGTGCGGATTATCACGAATCGATTATGCTGAATGTGAATTCAATGAATAATAAAAGATTGGAAGGGAATTTTCTTCATATTAACTATCGTACACATTGACTAAATAGAATTAGTTTGGTGAATGTTCAAATGAGAAGGAGAAGAAGAAGAAAAAAAATTAAATAAACACGTGCCCAGGTTCGATTTGTTGGGGTTGCATGTGTGGATGTTGATTTGGCATTTGCTTGTATGGAACACCGCACAGATCTTGTGGTGGAACGAGCCATGAATGTGTGAATGGCGGTGCGCCAACACCCATTCCAAGTGCACCCATTCCCATATGACCTCCCGTGGCTGGTCCTTGACGCTGATAACCACCATAATCCATTGCAACTGCTTGATACGGTAGCATAGTTCACGATTTCTGTATTTCCTCTACTTTTCAACACTTTAAAAAAAAAAAGTTCGCACAAACTCGAACACAAAAACTATCTAATTCAATTGCACAAAATTGTTCACAGAATACACAACAAAAATCAATACACAAGTGTTTGTTTTTATTTCGTGATTGAAGTTTTCATAAAATTCAACTGATCTCGGCAAATATTCATATTTTCGTTTCTCTGCTTTTCAATTAAAATCCCATCGGAGATGAAAATTCCGGTTTGCAAATGTCACTGGATAAATCACGAATGTTATTATATTTCACACATGTCCTCGATATATTGGAAAATCGGAAAAAGAGAATTTGAACACGACAAGAACAGAGTATTCAAGTGAAAGTACACGATGCACGTTCAAATTCAACAAACGATGATAAGTCTATTTGATCACAATACCGACACTTATTTAATGTGTACGATAGGCGAAGCGAGCGCGGGTGTGTGAAACAAAACAAAAAAGGGAAATAAAAACGTGTCTGAAAATTTGATGGGATTCGTGTGATGCTGCTATTACTGCCACGACACGACTGAACCAGTACAGTGCAGTGAAGACGACAAGAGCAAAAGATATCGAAGCGATTTTTTCGTTTTTACACTCTTCCCTCTCGATTCGAATGTGCGCCGTGCGCGAGACTCTACCACTATGACGACGACGACGACAACGACGTCGATGATGGGAAATGATGAAGAGCCAAACAGAAGTTTTGGCTGAAACGACAACAACAACAGACGAACAGCAGCAGGCACTGCACAACAACAATAAACCGCGCACAAAACGGTACGAGAGCCGAATACATATAAGCTACGTGCTATAAAGTGGATATCTGGTGTATGTACGTGAAATGATGCCTCCCAAACTCGAATCATACTCAATGTATGTGCTATTATATGCGTTTCGATATACGTGACGTTGTGTGAGTGCACGTCTATCTGGGAAATAACATGAAGAAGTTGAAATCAAGAATACTTTGAACATTCCATTTGAAATTGAACCGTTTTTTTTTTTCAAATTCTGCACAAAGGTTGACCAATTTATGAAAAACCGATTTTTTTGTCAGAAAATTTAATTTATCGATGCACTCTTTCTCATTATTTTAAAGCCGAATGTGAATGTTGACGAGTACTTTCAGTGATTAAGAAGTCATTTTATATCATATAGACATGGGCAAGTGCTCATTTTTACTCTGACTCTATTTTGAGTTGTCAATTTTAACACGAATTTCAAAGAATGAAAAAAGTGTGCGAACAAAAGTAGCATGTGAAAAAAATGTGAATTTCGCATGGAATGGTCGAATTGATAGATATCGAGCAAGCCGAGTTTATGATTTACACCCGCCGCGCTTATGACGACGACGACGACAACAACAACAGCAACAACGACGACAAAACCATCGAGAAAAGGACTTGTGCAGAGCGCACACGAAAACACAAATTTCTTATCGCCAAAACAAACCCATACACATACATACACAAGCTTGCATGTTGCACACACTACGACACAATTCGAAAAATGTTCCAACCATCAGTTTGAATATAAAAACGTACGGGTCTCTCTTCCTTTTCCATAAGCACATATATAAATGTATGGTACACACGTTGCGTGTATCATTGAAACCAATGCGAGAATGCTAAGCCGTGCATATACACCAAACCTCTACAATACACATACGTTATTATAGTTTTCATTGCATACACATATATGTTGAGTGTGCAGCACGTACGGTTGAACAGAGAATATCGGTGACTATGTGCTTTTGTCTGCGTGCCAGTGTGCTTGAGAATCGGCTGCCTTACATCAGCCCGATACAAATGCACGCGTTCGCTATGTGTATGCATGTATGTTGTACATACATTTTCGCCTCGGCATTTTACCAACGAGTGAAGAGAGTGGCAGAGTGTTCTCTTGTCAGCAGAGCAGCAACAGAAACGAGAATCACGCATCGAACAAAACAGATTCGGTAAGAGTCGTGAATGGGCGGGACGTGACCAACCAAATAAAATTTAGTCGCGTAGCACATAGACAATTCGATGGTACGTGATTGGCTTTTCAATGCAACCACGCCTCGAACGTTATCAATGAAGTAGCAGCTAAAGTAAACGGTCATGTACACACGGCCGATGGATTTTTCTGTGCCTTATGCTGCTGCTGCTGCCTTAACTGTTTGCTACTATTGCTGCTGCTTGATTTTGTTTCATAAGTAAATGTTGTGTGTACCACGATTACTCGTCATCATCGTCATTTGCGACGTGTATTCGCACCATGCACGTATTCTCTCTTTTTTATTATTTCAATTGTTATTGTTCTTAACATTTTTTTTTCATCTTCGTGTTCCTCAACCATGTGATGGGTACTCTGTGTTTACTTTTGGCTGTTGTCCATTGGGCGCATTTGATAACAGCAACCAAAATATACGACAATGAAAAAAAAAAAACGGGAAAAAACATGCACACACAAACACGTGAATCGCATTGGTAGAATATTCAGTTTTATTGATTACCAAATTTTCTACATATTGAATTCGTATCGAAGAGACTTTAAAACGATTTTCAATCGATGCGCACGAACTCATCACTTTCACCAGAAACTTTTATGCTTTGAAACTGATTTCAAATCCGAAACATACAATGTACTTTTTTTAGAATCCGAAACACAAATAATGTCTGCACAGAGTTGAAAACGTATTTTGGTTAATGTGTATTCTATTGGCACGACTGTTTTTTATAATACATTTCGATGTGGATGTTTTTTTTATCTCGATCGAAATTAATAAGCATATTTGAAATTATTCAACTCATTCATTCGATAAATCTACATTTGACATCAAAAAATGTCTAGTAAAAACGATCTTTAGAATCATTTCAATATCATGCATCCGAAAAAGTTCTTTGAGCCCCCACAGCCAATTTCAATTTTTCAATTGGAATTTGTTCGTTTTTTTTCTCGCCTCATTCTGGCTCGTGTTTTGTCAATTCAATTGCGCGTCGTCTGGTTAAAAAAAAATCGTTTAAATATTGATTTATTTCAATTGACTTTGAAAAAAAAAAAACCTGGTCTGAAAATGATCCGCTATTATAATGTCGGCACGATCGAAAAAATTGTGCCTATTGTGAATTCGACATGCATGACTTTTCATTTATCGATTGTGCGAGCGGACACCAAAAACCATCTATGTGTTCATATTTCGAAAAAATGAGTATTATTTGATTTTCGGCTGTAAAGTTTTATTTTTTGGCAAACAGTTCTCTTGTGTCACGGTTGTCCGTTTGGTGTGATTGAATTTTTCTGGTCTGCATGTGGTGTGTGCGCGTCGATGGTGGACCAAATGAGCAGCAAAAAAAAACGTGTCATCTAGACGTATACGTAGCTGCCACAACTGGTTACCTGACTAAGCTGATGGACACGTACGAGGCACGTTCAATAGCACATGTTCTCTGGCGCTCACAAGCCATTGTTATTTGCCACACAAAATTCAGGTTACCATTCTTATTGTTATTACTATTGATATTAATAACATAATCAACCTTTGATTGGCAACTCAAACCACTTTGGCGTTTCGATAGTGCAATTGACCTTACGCAGGTCTTGCAACGAAATCATATCCAATTCAGAAGTTTCAATTGAAATTGTACACTTGAACTATTCGTCAAGAGTTTCGAATCTATCTTTTTTTATTGAAGGACTTTTTGTAGAAATGTCCTTTCCTTATTTCTTCAGAACGAAATGATCAGTGAATGTTGAATCAGTTAATTCGTTTCCTATGAACAAACACCGGGCATCCGCAATAAAAACCATTATTTTCAAATTTATTACTTTATTTTTCCATCGAATGATGAAGAGATTCAATTCACGCGTTGTGAATTATTGTGTCACCACAACCAGATAAAATTATGAAATGAAAGGATGTCTTGGCCACAAAATTCAGTGAACAGTGTCTCTTTTCTACGATTAAAATTAACACGAAAAACGAAATGCGATAAAAAAAACACTTCGAAAGAAAGAGAGAAAAAAAAACTTAAATTTATTGCACACCAAATGTGTGCTTGTTTTGGGGAAGCATGAGCAGAAAAAAAGAGAGGACACTGAAGCCCAAAACACATAAATTAGTTTTAGTGGAATAGTGGTAGCCAGACAAATGAACTGAACACGCATTGGGCTTTATGATTATCGAAGCACTCTGCACTGTTCGCGTTTTTCCTCTATCTTTCGATATAAGAAGGTACATATAAAATACAAAACGAAACTGTGTAATGTAATAAATTTCATATGAAATGAGTATACAGTGGCGCATTTACCTGCGTTCATTGTATGTGCATTGACTATATGGGCACTGAACAATCATAATAAAACTTCCTTTTTCTCGGCTCACCACACCGTAATCTCTGTGCAACCATCTTCTTTCACAATTTCTTTTGGTTTTTGTTTTGATTCAATTTTCATTTTGGGTTTGCAGTAAAACAATAATTTCAACACCGTCCGTGAATGGATAATGGGTTCTCTGGTGAATTGAGCAATGAAGAAAGTGAAAATGATGTAAGAAATGAAGAGAAGAAAAGTAAAAATTATGATTTCCTTTGTTAAGGTTTGAGCTGTATGACAATCACTTATCTCACAATTCAAATCACCATAAACATAAACCCATCAAAATATTGTTTTTCTCACCTCTCTCTGGGTACTGTTTTCATTCATGCATTTTCAATGATCAACAGAAGGATATCATTTGAGTGAAACAATCGAAAGGCTGAACAAATATAATATTTAATTTATGAAGAGAATTTTCTGTTTTTCTTTCTTTGTTAAATAAAACAAAAGATGTAAATATATTAAACGCCACTTTTTATTTCGAAGAACGCTTTTTTCTATATACATGATGCGTGTCTTTTTTCTTTAGTTTTGAAATGCAGTGTCGTTTTTATTCATTCTTCAAATTTATATGAATACATTTACTTGAAATTTATTGCCATTATTCTGAGTATTGTTCATTTTTTTTCTCTCGATTGCTTCGAGCAAAACGAAGGTGACAGATTGTGGTGTTGGTGATCCGCGTTTGCTTGAATGACGACTCAATGATTTTCAATTAAAACTTACATTTTAAAAGACAAAACAACCATTGGATTAACGTAAGACGGTAGCCTTCTGCATTTCAGTTCGTGGTTATATGGTGTACACAGTGAATGAGGAATAGGAAAAATGTCGCGCAAGAAAAAGAGATTGTTATCAATGTTTGTGAGTTGCACACCTTTGGCATAGCAATAATTTAAGCGATCTTAACCGATACGGTGAGCGTATCCAACGGCAATTATTTACGATACAATATTATTATCGGGCTCGCTTAGTACGCATTTTATTCGAACGCATTTTCGTTCTTCGTTTTTTTTTCTCATTGTTTTTTTTTATTCATCCAATTTTGGTGTTGAATTTTAATTGAAGTAGCTGATCGCGCTGTGCTTGATGCGAGCGATTAAGACATTTTCAACTGAAAAGAAATGTCAAATAGCAATAAAATCAAGTATAGAGACAACGGCTAAATAAAATGTATGTCGCAATGCTTTGCTGA